GCACATTAATGACTCTGTTGCTCACCCTAACCCTAAAAGGAGACAGCTGGGCCAATCAGCTCCGAGCACTGACAGCGACGGGCCACTCAGACGGTGAGATCCCACACAGAGCTTGGCTGGCGTTAAGATCAGCTGTTCCACAAGACGAGGAAGCTCAGTGAGCACACATACCAGCAGCATGGTTCACAGACATGTAATGTTTTCATCTCCTTAACAAGGCACCAGTGATGCTGTCCTGACTGGGTCTTCATAGTGTGCCTTCTGAGTATAATAATCCCTCTTTAGAGTTATATGTGCAGAGTGACACATTATGCATCAAAGTAACATAAAACACAATGTTTTTAAAACCCTGATTGCAAGTCACTTACAGTATGCTACATTTCACTTGTGATTACAAACCTATAAAGAAATAATACTGCAACACAAAAATGCATTGCTTTAAGGCAAACATTGCATTTATAAGCTCATGAAATACACTTCTTATTCTAGAAATAGTTTACTCTTTATGTTCCTTTGAGAAAACAAATGTATTACTCATTCATTAACCCCTCGTATCCAATAATACAATTAATATACCAATTAATCAAACTTTTTTATACTTAATAAACATTTGATTAAGAAACTGGGTCAGTCAATGACTTCACTGCACAGAAGTCCCATCCATGTATGTAAAACATACTTTCCTGTGGCTTGTTGATTTTTGCCGGCAGCTCTTATTTGGACTTGTGTGAACCCCAGGCCCCGCCCCTGGTCCCTCGAGCCAGTCTAGGTCTTATTTAAGGGGCTCTTCTCACCCTCAGCCTTTGTCCCAGTGGAAGCATCCGTCTACCAGTGCACCTTGGTGAGTACATTTTACAACTTATCCTCTGATTCTCTGTCCTTTGATAGATTACTTCCTAATTGTTGTGCTTTGAGCTGATCAGCCCTAAATGAATGAATTGATGATGTAACTTCAGCTTGATAAAGGTTTTCCTCACGGTGTAACTGACGTGTAAAACTGGAGTAACTAGTTATTCAAGGCTGACTTCTTCAGGTTGTTGAAATTAATATAATTACATATTGTGGTTTTCCACTGCTCTGGAACGTTTCTGTGTTAAAGCATTGCCAGAGCTACAATTATAACTTGGATTTGTACACAAAAGCTGGGGGGGAAGCTGGCCAAATCTAGCTATGCTCCAATGAATGAAATTAATAGGCAGCTGGGGCATGGAGCCATGTAGTAAAACAAAAGTGTCACGGTGTGCAGACAGATGGGTGCTGGCCCGACTTCTACAACCTGAAAATAGCAGGTGATCCATGTGTCACTTGTTTCATCATAAACCCTGTTAACCACAGTGTGGCTGCTTCTGGGCTTAAAATAGCTCCAGGTTTCTCTGTATGATGCCCCTTTTTGGTGCTACATATCAGCAGCTCTGAGATTCCCCGGGAACAATCACGGCTGTGTTGATATGGTATCAGTGTTTGAATGACAAGGTTGAGACCAAAATAAAGCATCCAAAGGCATGTCTAATTAGCTTTCTATATATAGCTCCCCATTGAGGTGGGTTGTATTGAAGTGATAATACTGTTGAGTATAGTTTATGAGAGCATTGGCAGGTCTTCAAAGGCGTCCTGGATCACAGCTAATACATATATTGATACAATTAGTCTGTGGTCCAGACACTTCATCACATCATCAGCCAAAGTGATAACGCGTTTGTGGTTGGTTCAATTATAACAGGCATTGGTGCATGTGTTTTCTATGATGGGCAGTTTAGAAGCTGTCGCTTACAACCATCCTAAACCCCCCTGTGCTGTTTATCTATGATGAGCAGTTTTAGACAGTTGTTCCTAACACCCATCCTAAACCTCCTTGTGCTATGATTTCTATGATGACCAGTTTAGACAGCTGTTCCGACACCCACGCTAAGCCTCCTGTGTTTTCTACTCTACCATTCGTATTTTAGACCATCCCAATAAAGCCTAATCATGTGTGACGACGAAGAGACTACCGCCCTTGTGTGCGACAACGGCTCTGGCTTGGTCAAGGCTGGATTTGCCGGAGATGACGCTCCCCGTGCTGTCTTCCCTTCCATCGTTTGGAAGGCCCCGCCACCAGGTAAGCTATAAAAAAACTCTGTAGAATCACTAAAGTTTTAGTTAGAAGTACCATCGTCTTACATTCCTCTCTTGCTTCTTTCCCTCAAGGGTGTGATGGTTGGTATGGGTCAGAAGGACAGCTACGTAGGTGATGAAGCCCAGAGCAAGAGGGGTATCCTGACCCTCAAGTACCCCATCGAGCATGGCATCATTACCAACTGGGATGATATGGAGAAGGTGTGTGATGACAGTGAGACTCATTTACACCATTCATGGCAGCTGAACCTCCTCTCCCTGTCGTAAAAGCTGCTTATTTATAGAGGAACCCTTGGTTGTTGTGTTGTTGTTGTTGTTGTTGTTGTTGTTTATTCAGCCGAGAGTTGTATCAGTACTGACATCAGCTGTTTTCCTCCTTTAGATCTGGCACCACACCTTCTACAATGAGCTGCGTGTGGCACCTGAGGAGCACCCCACCCTGCTCACTGAGGCCCCCCCTGAACCCCAAAAGCCAACAGAGAGACGATGACCCAGGTACTTCACAGTCAATACTCTGCGTTATATACCACTTGTTGGTTCTCAGATTTAGACTAACCTTTCTGCTTGCCTTTTCCTCCAGATCATGTTTGAGACCTTCAACGTTCCCGCCATGTATGTGGCCATCCAGGCTGTCCTGTCCCTGTACGCCTCTGGTCGTACCACCGGTCAGTACATTGCTTTTTTTCATATAACTAATTTACGTTATGCACTGAGATCAAATAAAAGGAAATTGTGCTGCAGGGGAGAAACTGTTGAACATTTATACTCTGAGGGTGTCTATCATCCGGATAGATTCCTGTCCCATTGTAGGGGAGGTGTTAATCCCTCTCCAGCAAGGGTGTGTGCCATCTCATGTCAGCAGCATTGTATAGTTTATGATGTGAGAAATGCTTCAGGGGGCAGACCCTCACAGGCATGCATACTGACTATCATGGTCCTTCTCTTCCTGCTAAAGGTATTGTGCTGGACTCTGGTGGATGGTGTGACCCACAACGTCCCCATCTATGAGGGTTATGCTCTGGCCACACGCCATCATGCGTCTGGATCTGGCTGGTCGCGACCCTGACTGACTACCTGATGAAGATCCTGACTGAGCGTGGCTACTCTTTTGTCACAACTGGTAGGTCTATATCATTATGGTTTAGTTGTTTGATGAGAGGTGTATAAGTGTTGTTTCCTAATACATGAACTTTCTGCTTCTTAGCTGAGCGTGAGATCGTGCGTGACATCAAGGAGAAGCTGTGCTACGTGGCTCTTGACTTTGAGAATGAGATGGCCACCGCTGCCTCCTCCTCCTCCCTGGAGAAGAGCTATGAGCTTCCCGACGGTCAGGTCATTACCATTGGTAATGAGCGTTTCCGTTGCCCAGAGACCCTCTTTCCAGCCTTCTTTCATTGGTGAGTAATCCTTTGCATTGTCTTTGTGATAAATCTAAGAAATGCAGTGTTTATCTCAGAGAAACTCATCTTTTAATTTGTTGTCTTCTACCAGGTATGGAGTCTGCTGGTAATCCATGAGACTGCCTACAACAGCATCAGAAGTGTGACATTGACATCCGTAAGGACCTGTACGCCAACAATGTGCTGTCCCGGTGGTACCACCATGTACCCTGGTAATTGCTGACCGTATGCAGAAGGAGATTACAGCTCTGGCCCCCAAGCACCATGAAGATTAAGGTGAGCGAAACTTCAAAGATTTTCATCAATGATTTCATCAATTAAGTTTTTAACATTCAATAACACTCAAATGATGTCTATTCCTTGTCTAGATCATTGCTCCCCCTGAGAGGAAGTACTCCGTCTGGATCGGTGGGCTCCATCCTGGCTTCCCTGTCCACCTTCCAGCAGATGTGGATCAGCAAGCAGGAGTACGATGAGCATGGGCCCCTCCATTGTCCACAGGAAACTGCTTCTAAACACACATCCAACCTCCTTCCGTCCATGAATTTGTACGGTTTTGTCTCTTGTATATATGTTGTTGTTTTAATGTAATAAATAAAAAGTCCCTTGTAAGAGTTTCACCTGTACTGTGCTCACTTACAGCAATGCAAAATGACAAAAAGAATAAGTGACACTTGATGTATACTGGGATAGTTCTACATAGACCACAGGGCTAATTATTACAATACATGCCTCACATAATATAGGCCATGTATGCAGACAACTAATAATCAAGAGTTTGCTAAGATATGGATGCTGATGCTTCCACTTGTGGTTGAAGACAAAATGAACATTATTTTTACTTAAGCTTAACAGTACTGACATTGCATACTATCCTAGTTAACCCGGATTACTTATTTGTTTTCAAAATTACCATTAGATAAAAAATAGAAAAGATCCGAGTTGATACAGGCATTAACAATGTGCGAAGTGAAAGGCTCACCAGTGTGGTTTTGTGCAATAGTCTGTTTACACAGGTTTTACATCACGTTTACGTTTTAAGGTATTTATTCATTTCATTCTGTTTAAGAATGCTACATTTTGTGAAAAAATGTACTACCAAAATGCTGTCAACAGAGGCTTTTACGACCCAAATATTTAAATACCAATAATCATTGTAACTTGAATGCATAACAATTCACCAAAGGTAGTCAGAACTTAATCAGACATGGTCATTTGTCTGTTAAAATAGATATGAACTATGAATTTTAGTAGTGTAGTACAATCTCACTTTTGTGCATAAACCATTTAAAGATGCGACTAGTTTTAGTTACAGAGACAACCGGTTGGACAAAAAGCGTCCATTTGAAGATTGATTTGGTCTAGTGGAAACTGTCCCCGCCCACCGAGGCTACCCTGGCAGATAAAACTAACGCCCAGGACAATGTTATTCGAAACGTTTACCAGCCAATCACAGCGTGTAGCGTAGGAAGCGCTGCTGTTTGAAAACTCTGCGGAAGAAGACAGCCTGCCAGTAACCGATATGACGAGCGAACAGTAGCACAATGGCAGTTAGCTAGCTGACGAATATGAATTGATGTAAATCATAACTTCGTTGAAGAAGAGGTAAACAAACCATTTGTAAGTTGTGTGACCCGAGGAGAGATTTAGTTTTTGTTTGTTCGAGGCTTGGCAATAAGCTAATGTACCTTGCAAAGTTAATAGCTGGCTAATGTTAGCTAGCTAACTGCATTGCCAACGGAAGCACGAAGATGGCCATTACGTGGTCATGCAACGTTAGTTAAGTTAACATCTTGTTGGGACTGGAAACCTTGGTAGTTGTTACTGCTGAGGTTACAGGTAAACGGTTTTCAAGATTAAGCGTCTTGTGAGCAGTTAAGATCCACTTGAGGATGACTTAACGACAGAGGTTTAAAGAAAGTGATACACTTGGAGAAACAGAAGCGATACAGCTGCGGATGTCAGTTAGGTTCTGTCAGTAGAGAGTAAACGAATTGTTTCAAAGTTCGTTTGAAGTACAAGAAAGGAGTGTAAAATGAAAGTCATGGAGAAAAATATGATGCGGCTTGTGGCTGTGCAACACCTCCGCGCAGCGTACGGGATAAAGACAAAAAACTGGAACAAAAACAAAGCAGTCAGCTGTAAGACTGCAGCCAGCAACTCGGTAAGTTTAACTAAAAGCTATGTTCAATGTACAGCATCATTTACTTGTGTTACATTTGCAGTGAAACTTTCAACTTGACAATCTGTTCGTTCAGACCACAAATAAACAACAGCATCAGCCTTGGACATGATATTGTTTTGGCAATTGAATCTAATTAGCATATTACTGAAAGCTGGTGGGACCCATTTGTTCGCAGGCCGTTGTCACTCATGTCAGTCGGTGCTCAGGCTTTGTTTGGCTGTTTTCTGCTTTATTCACTCCATAAAGTTATTTACCAGTCAGAGAAAGGGCGATGTTTTCCCATACATCTTTATGCCACATAGTTGTGATGGATTTGTAACTATTTCGTCAAAGGATACTAACGTATGGGACACCCCTTTTTGAACTTAACGGCGGTTAGCCTGGTTTTAAAAATATCTCTGAAAGCTCGGCTTGGTTTTAGTTTTCTTAACTTGTTTTTCTGGCTCTGATGAGTCACAAGGTTGGATGCAAGAGACTATTCAGACGAACACTGACATTCACCATTTACAGGGATTGCTTGAGAAATGTAGCAATACAAACAAGTGCCAAAAAATACTATTAAGAAATCAGGAATTGATGTAGTGTTATACTTCTTCTCTGAACAACACTTATGTTATCATAAATCAACTAAGAAGAAGTATTGTGTGGCAGTGAAATCCCTGTCCCTCGTAGTATTTGACTCATTATGGTAAAAAAAAACAACTGTTCAACATTTTGATGTAGGAAAGTACGTGAGGGATTTGATGCTGCTAATAGAACATTGAGCAGTTAACATCGTTTTATTCTTTACGTTATTTTTTGTATTCACAGACAAAAGTGTTCGGGGTCTCCCTGGAGACATTACCGTACTATAATATGGAATGTGGGACCGTGCCAAGGCAAGTGGATCATTTTTACATTTACTTGAGCCTACAGGCAGCAAGTTATATCTTGTCCAATCTTCTACATTTTGCGTTTTTTCACTGCATTTTCAGATTTCTGGTTGATGCATGTATGATGCTGCTGGCGCACGTGGACACAGAAGGCCTGTTCAGAAAGTCGGGCTCTGTCATCCGCCTGAAAGCACTCAGGGTGAGTGATGACTGAATTGACTTTGCATTCACTCAGGAGCCTTGACCCGGAGAAAGGTCTAACACAACAGATGTGTTTTGTCCGTCCAGGCTAAACTGGATGCGGGCGAGGAGTGTCTGTCCACGGCTCTGCCCTGTGACATAGCCGGCCTGGTGAAGCAGTTCTTCAGGGAGCTGCCGGAGCCCGTGCTCCCCTCAGAGCTGGAGGAGGCCTTCCTCAAGGCCCAGCAGCTCCCCACCGAGCTGGACAGGACCTCCGCCACCATGCTGCTGTCTTCTGTACTGCCCGAGAAAAACCTCAGCACTCTGCGTCACTTTTTGGACTTCCTCCACAATGTGTCGATGAGGTGCCAGAATTATATTTATTTATTTGCGCCAGTTTACCTTTAAATTCAGTTTTACAATCGGCCGTTTCACCCTTGTCTTCATATTTACATTACTGTTTTTTTTTTTTTGCTTAATCCCAGGAGTGCAGAGAATAAGATGGATAGCAGTAACTTGTCTGTAATCCTGGCCCCCAACATCCTTCACTCGGGAGACGGTACAGAGAAAATGAACGCTCACACAGAGAAACGCCTCAAGCAACAGGCGGCCATCGTTCACTGCTTCATAGAGAACGCCCACAACTTTGGTACGACCTGAGGCGTGTTACCTGCAGCTCGTCTTTATGGCAGTCAACACTGTAATGTTTTAACAGTAAATACTTGGCTGTGTCCACAGGAGTGTTACCACAGTTTTTGCTGGAGAAAGTACCGGCCATGATGGGCTGTGAGGGGGGGGGTCCTGTCACCTTCTCATGATGGACTTGAGGAGCTGGACTTAAACTCTGGGATGAAGAAGAAACTCAGGCGCAGCTTTGGAGGTAAGACTGTACCATCAGGCTTTTCTTTTGTTATTAATGATTAGCTGCAGTACTCAAAGAATTAAATCAAATATTGCATTGGCCACATTTCACACGGGACATTTGCAGTGCCCTCCAAGTAAACTGGAGCTCCATATCTCAGTAACTGTAAACGTGTCTTGTTATTTTGAAGCAGATTTTTAGTCTGTAAATACTGTTTCATATGGTTCGGTTTGTCTCGTATTTCAGATATGGTCAATGGTGCTCTGAATAAGATAAAAACTAATAGAACACCCACAAATTCCAACCAGTCAGACAGTCTTGGTAGGTACTCAGGTCGAAGGAAATAAGGTGCATGATGCTACTGGAGCAATCTATCTGCAACGCACAAGAACAAAACATGTTTTCTGCAAATGATTCGCCTTGATGTCGAATGATGAGTCATGTCAATTATGCCTTTTCTAAATGGCTTTTGTTTTTCTTTGCCTATTTGCATGGCTAATCTTCCGTAAAATTCAGTCAACAACTGCTTATTCCTCCAAGTGCCTTGTCTCTCAATCGTCTTGGGAATGTTCTTAAATACAAAGGGAAAAAATGTAATCTTTAAAAAAAAAAATCTTCACATTTATGGTATTACATTTTTTTTTTTTTTGTTGCCAGTCTTTTCTTCTGCCACTCCTGTGATTGCAACACCGAGCTCAAAGAGAAAGCTTCCTCTGGAATCTGGTCACTCTTTTGGATTCTCAAACAAGAAACGTAGGTCTGTCAAAAAGACCCTGGGGATAGACTTATTCCCCAACACTTTGTTCAGCGCCACTTCCACTCCTGGATCAGGTATTGAGGATTGTTTGATCAAATGGGAACCAACTATTCTGCTCTCCGTGCAGCATGGGGTTTAACATATTTGTTTTTTTTATATATATTGTAGCTTACAGTGCTTCTGGGGTCTTGGACTCTCCCAACAATCCGTCGTCAGCAGGGAAGTCTAGAAGGCAGCCCGCTGTCTCTGTGAGGAGGAAGAGCCGACGAATCAGCAACAGACATGCTGTCAACAGGTACTGACTAGTCACCTGTTAAAGCTCACAATGATGTTTCTAAGGGACGATAGAACGGCTCGGTCCTTTACCAAAAAACCAACTAGTAATGCAATGGTTATTGCAATTTCTACTTGCAAAGAAGTACCAAGTATAAGCAGGTCGAAGTAGTTAAAGCAGAAAAAGTCATCCGTAAGTAAAATGGCTATTTTCACAGTATTATATAATTGTATGAAGTGCATTATTTACTTCTGAAATCTAATGAAGTATAAAGTAGCAGAAAATAGAAATACTCAAGTGAAGTATGTCAAAGTAGTACTTATGAACATTACTTGAGTTAATGTACCTGGTTACATTCCAAAATGCCCTCGAATTACATTTAATGAACAAAATGTTCAATTGGATGCCACGAAATGCATTGCCCTCTTTAAGCCTATCGTATGCTGAATATCCTATGCATCCTTTTCAGAGTTGAATCCGGAAGAGCTGGCTGCTTCTCTCCTAAAGTCAGCAAAAAAGAAGCTCCAAGAAAATCTCTGCGGCTGCGCTTCAACCTGGGGAAGAGCAGCAAGGAGGCTGTAAGTGTGGTTCCACGACAGGCTTCACCTTCCCCTCATGTGGCTACAAGTTAGAGGGCCAACATGCATTCAGGCATACTGCCCCGATTAACTGTATTAAAATCAAGTAACATTTGCACATCGGGGTGTTTTTAAATGGGTAAAGTGTTGCACGTTTGCACTTTTTTTTTTTTATTGTGTAACAATCTAAGCTTACTCTCAGTAACTAACACATTTTAAACTAATGCACACTTTAAAAATGTTTTTTAAAAGTTCTTATATCTGTAATGTTGTAAAATATGTTCATGCTTGTGTGGTACAAAGCCATAGGATATGTCCTGTGATTTACAATGTTAAGCACTCAGGTGAAAGAATGTTATTAAACATTATTTAGCACAAATAATAACCTATTGTAACCGGCTACGGGATACATGGGTCAGCTGTTTACAATGCCTAGCTTCTCTAATGCATGCAGTCACATGTGAATTCCTGACTTAATAAAAAGTTGATGACCAACTTGTTGTTTCTTCTGAGTGACTTTTATCATCCTCTGAAGAACTAACCACTACAACCATTGAATTAACACATTAATGGGCAACATCTGTGGGTTCCTTTTTAACAAAATAATATACTAAAGCTCCCTCCTCCCTGTTTCTTTCATTTTTAATTTCATGGTGGTGTTAAAGGTGTCAGAGTCCGTTGGCTGGCGGCTTGCCACGCAGGAGAGCACCACCAGCTTCCGTTTCACCGAAGAGACAGAGTTCAGTCCAGCTGCTCTGCCTAGAGAAGCAGAATCAAAAAGTGAGTACTGTATGCAGACATCGAATAATAAGAATAACATTATTCTAGTGCAATGTTCTGTAGTCTTTAAGTTATAGTAGTTGATATCCCACTTTGTTTTACAGGCACCAAGTTCATCAGTAAGTCTGAAGACAACCTGCTGACCCCCCAATGTGACTCAAGTGTCCACCAGACCTCATGGAGCAGGGAGACCCCTCGAGGAGCGCAGGCTTTCAGGGGAGGGTCCTTCACCGACACCCCCATGAACATGTGCCTGAAGAACAACTACAACTCTGAGCCGGCCATCGTGGTGTCGAAGCCCCCAGCAGTGTCCGTGTTCCCTAAGAAGCTCTGCTGTGCTTCCAGCGCTGAGAGCGAGATCTCTCTCACGGAAAGCCAAACTGCTCCCACCCTGCTGAAAATACAGAAGGCTTTCACAAAGTCCGGGAGTGACCTTCAGCGTCCCTGCACCTCTGTGGGGACACACACAACAAAAACACTCGACAGCCTCCTCCCCCCACCAGAGACCCCCCCCAGCCAAAGTCCTTCCCGTGGACACGTGTGCCTCCAGCTTCCCAGCCCAGCAGAGCTTCCTGGCTTACGATCAAAACATCACCTTTGGCCAGCTTGAAATGGCTGCCTTATCACCTTTGCATATTGACAGTGTCCTTTTTGAGTGTGGTGTGTACCGTACTCCAGCAGCACAGGCTGACGCAGGGTCTTTCTGCGCCGCTGCCATCAGTAGCCTCAACAGCTCCACGGTGGGGGAAAGTGATGCGGAGGTGGAGCAGGTGAACTGCAGCCGGCTGGTGGACGCCCTGGACATCCAGAGTCCGGCCCACTTCAAACTGTGCGTCCCCTCCGGGCGCCCAGTCCACTCCGTACAGGCTGGGCCTTGAATTCAGAGATGAGTTCAGTACCCCGCCTAAGATTGGTACTAAACTCCGTGCGGTACAAAACAAATGTTCCTCAGAGAGCGGTGCCGAAAAACAGCAACCCCTCTCCCCGCGCAGCCTGGAGACCGAAAAGCGCCGGGTGGCGGACCACATCCATCACTTCAACAAGCTCACCCTTCACTCCCCCAAAGGGGCCTTGGCCAAACTCGTCAGATCACCCCTCCAGTTCAAGCGCACCCCCGTACGTCAGACCGTGCGCAGGATGAACTCTCTGCTGGGGGAGAGCAGGAGACCAGTCGGAAAGGAGGAACTCGGCATCAGCCAGAACGGCCCGAGCATGAAGGCAGTGAGCCTGGAGAGCGGCCTCTCCTCTCACCCCCAGCTCCAGCGTCACCATGTGTGTCACATAAAGAAACCCCCCCCCAGTCCTGCCCAAAAAGCCAAGCACCCTGGCACGTAAAGCCAAGGTGTGCGCTCTGGCCGACTTGACCAACAAGGTCCAGCCAAAGACCAACGTGGACAGCTCTGACCAATCGGGAGCTCAGAAGCCTCTGGGGCAGCAGGTAGTGGAGAAGGACATGAGCCGTTACAGAGGGTCCCCCAGAAACCCCCTGAACCAAGTACGCCTGATATCAGCCACCAAGCCTATAGCTTTATAGTTTCAGTCTTTTTTTGTTTCCTCCATACTCTGCAGGTCTCTGTCAGCTACGTGACATTAAACATTCCCGCTTATATTCATATTTTCAGGGATTTTAATTTATTTGTTTAGCTATGGTAGGTGATGTTTGTATTGTGATAGGGTCTTATTGGGAGAATGTTCATTTGCCTTGTGTTTGTTTTACTCTAGTAAAGCAAGTATTACAATATCGACATATCAGCTGACAGCGTTATGCTGTGTAGTTAGACTAGTGTGCAGGCCAAATGATGTGTAATGTGATTGATTGAGTATGACTGGAAATGTTTTGATCATTGTAATGCTTTTTTATTTATGCATTTGATATCTAATCCTTAGGTAGATTTCTTAAAAAAACAAAACTGTTTACAGAAGTTGAAGCAGTTTTTATTTTTTTTATTTACAGAATATATTCGTACTGTCATCTTGAACTGAAAAAGAAAAAATGCACCTTTTTGTTGGGTTTTCACACAAAAAAAAAGCCAATCAGTATTGATCTATCACAGTGCATTAATTACAAAACCAGCTAAATGCTTTGCTATGTGAAGTGCTACAGAACAAATAAAGTCAAACGGCATAACCCTTAAGGGTTTTACAGTTGAATTATTCTTGTTTGCCTTAACAGTCAGTACTTGTTTGCGCCACAAGGGGGAGTCATGCAACCACTGCCGCCCTAAACAACAGTTCACTGACATGTTAGTGAAGCATGTTATTGGTAAAGGCTTGACTCTTTCAAAATTTCGACTATATCCTGATATAAAAGCATAATATCACAAATAAATGTGGTTATGGTACATATCAGAAGATTACTTGCGTCACAGATGCATTAATTTAATACAAATATATATTTTTTTCTCTGTGTAAATTCAGGTTTCTGATTGCATTCAATGACTTATGTTGACATGTAAGAGGTGAAAGGCCTACATCTTTTTTCTCCTGTAAAGAATCTGCAGAGTAGACCGTGAAGTGTCGAGGTCAAAACCGTTGCTTCCGATTTATTCTCCACAGCCCGATGGAGGGCTCGGGTGATTTTCAGTTGCAGACTGAACTTGGAAAAAATCATTTTAAAAACGTTACTTTCTGCAGCAGCATATTACTTTGTATCTCTGCAGTGATGGCAGAGCAATTTCCCTTAATATTGGTCTGTTCTGCACCTTCGGGCGGTGCGTCATCATGATGCATATTGGTATTACAGATCACGCAGTTGGGCCGAGGCCATGTGTTCTGCAGATTAATGTTCACCTTTCTGTAACAACATGAAACATGGAAGAAATAATGCTGGAACAAACTATTCGTTTAGATAGTTATGGTATACAGATAAATACACTTTTGATGACTGGCATACCTATTCTAGGTTTAAACCAACGACAGTGTGGGTGCTGGAGTTTATTTTCAACAATAAAGGGCTAATTGTGACTTATATTTACACTTAATGTATTATATGTATATATAGCAGTGATATGCCTTTTTACAGCTTTATTTATTGTATCATATTTCACATGGCAACATCAAAGTTTCTCCTAATAATGGCTGTTAGTAAAGCATTAGAAAAACCTTTTAATATCCAACCAAAATGCATTAGTAATGAGTAACAATGTTAGTTAAGACAATTCCTTTTTTTAAGTATACGGCTAAAACTTTTGATAACTTTGTAAAACTTTGATTTTAAAACTCTAAAACGTGATTTATGATAACGTGTTGCTTCGTTGCCTTTTTTTGGTCATGTAAAATAAAACGTAGTTTTGGGACTAAAATAAACTAAATCAATTTAAAGGACCTGTCTATCTACTGGACTATGATAGCGTTTCTAAAATGCACAATCTTAGTGAAAAAGCCTACTCTTTGGCTCAATTATATTCCTGGTATTCAGTAACATTAAAATAATGATATATCGAGAATGTACACTATAGGTGTTCTGTAATATGAGTCAGACAGTCGACATTTCTTATTGATTCTATCCCTATTGCATTCGTAATTTACGAGAGGACCGTGAACGCCTACATTTGGGTTTAAAGTGTGACATATTATGGTATTATCATGTTCCTTCTGATGAAATAAAAAAAAATCACCAGTCCTACTTTTTTTCTCCATGTGCGCATAAACGTTCCGGCCTGTCTGCTCTCGGCTTGTCTCCCCCCTCCCCTCCCTGCCTGCCCTCGCTGTTCCTCGGTTGTCTGTTTTCTTGAAGTGGGTTCAGGGAAGTGTTGAGGGGGCGGATAGTTTTGATTTTCTCTACATCGTGCTTAGCCAATAATGTAGAGGGAACTGTTGTGCACATCTCAGCTGGCAGACATTTAAAAGGGAGACAGTCCGGCGCTGGAGCAATTTGTATTAAACCCCCTGGCCCCTGTCTATGGAGCGCTCAGTCTCCCACCCATCCACAGCCCCACCAGTGTACGGCCGACAGCAGTAGGTGCCGCGAGAGGACTGACAGGATCACACCATCGCACTTGTAGCAGTGGAGACTCGCGCAGGTGAGTTACATTCGGACTGTTTATGACTACAACACTCAAGAACGGTCTTCATCCATCTTTAAACTTTGTTTTGTTCCTTGCTTTTAGAAATTACAAAACGCCATGCTTGTTCTCCACTGGTATGCATGTGTGGATATGTTCAGCTTTTTATTAAACGTCTTAAAGTTTTTGCTTTGCCTAGATCTGGTGGCATTACTTTGCATAATAGCCTAATAAAGTATCGGGCCAAGGTAAACATTATATTTGTTAGTCAAATACTTAGATATTCTTGTAGTTTAGTTTTTATTTTTTAGGTAAAAAGCTGTCTGCGCGTTTTTACGCAGCGTAAAAGTTTTGACAGCTGTGCGTAACGCATCCAAAGTTGAAACGGCATAGGTGATGAATTATTTTCCTCTTCTCCCCAAGGATGGCCAACTCAACGCGTATCTTCTGCAGTATGGTTTTCATCATGGGGTTGCTCTCCTCGCCCGTGGAATCCAAAAGAAACCGAGGTTCACAAGGCGCCATTCCTCATCCTGACAAAAGCAACCCAAACGAATCGGAGCAGCAACCGCAGACTCCGCAGGCGGGCTCCGGCTCCCGGCAGAGGCAGGGCTCATCCTCCCCGGCCGACGAGGTGCTGGAGTCCAGCCAGGAAGCGTTACACGTGACGGAGCGCCAGTATTTGAAACGGGACTGGTGCAAGACGCAGCCCCTGAAGCAGACCATCCACGAGGAGGGCTGCGTCAGCCGCACCATCATCAACCGCTTCTGCTACGGGCAGTGCAACTCCTTCTACATCCCCAGGCACATCCGCAGGGAGGAGGGTGCTTTCCAGTCCTGTTCGTTTTGCAAGCCGAAGCGTTTTACCACCATGACTTTTACTTTGAATTGTCCCGACCAGCAGCCACCCACCAAGAAGAAACGCATCCAGCGCGTCAAACAGTGCCGCTGTATATCCATAGACCTGGACTAAAGACAAGGCTTGGGGGTGTGTGTGTGTGTTTCATATCCCTCGCGGACAGGATTGTTGGTAGAAAAAAAGGTTGTCACATAGCCAAGAACACATGCCTGTCTCCACTTGGAGGATGCATTCACGAACGCTTCGTACATGTAGGCTACAGTCTCTTCTTGCATAACGTGTGAACAAATATGGACATGCAACTTATAGACCATCGAGCATTTTACTCCTCACCAGTTTGAAAACAAGCATCACTGCACAGGAACGCTGAATTGGAATGGGCACGTTTTACGCACGGCTTCCTCCCCCCGAGAGGACTGCATAACCCCGGGTTATTTAATATAGAAACGCTTGCTGTGACAGGAAATGTACAATTTTGTATTTTAATGTGCATAATGTGTTTGCTGAACAGGACGTTTCCACTGTGTGGAATTTGATGTATGAGCGAGGATATTTGTAAATGGAAAATGTGATTTTTATTTCGATGTTACAAGAATGTCTGAAGGTAAATTGATTTCTGTGAATTTCCAAGTCCATTGGTAAAGTTTTTTAAAAAATTTTTTTTTTAAAGTTGGATGCCTACTCTTTTAGAGATGATAGGCTTATTAGCCAGACGCTGTTCAGTGATGGGTTATCCAGTATCGAGATTAAATAGTTGTCAATGTAAAGGCATCCTTGATGTAACCGGTTTGTTTATCCCTTTGATTAAATTATCCATGAAAATATAAAATAAACGGATGTTCTAATATTGTGTATATCATCTGTGACTTTACACTTGATATAGATTAGGAAGGTGTTACAATGTTAAATGATGGCCTCATCTGCTGCTCTCCTCTAGCATGGAGCCAGCATCTCAGACTTAAAAAACATTTAATTGTAAAAGCAGTCCGTTTAAGAAAAAAAAAAAAAAATGGGGTTACGTTTTCCAATTATTACTTGGAATTATGTTATTTTACTTCACTGTATTTGGCTCGCAAATCTGTCGCAGGACTGAAACGACGGAATGTATGAAGGATGAGGAATTTTCCAATGTTTCCTTCATTAAATAAGTAACACATTTAGGAAAAGCTTTTGGTATTTAGATAATCCATTATTCTTCAGACATCCATTTTGAATACAACCATTATTATACATGGTCCAAACCCTTAATCTTTAGGAGGTTTTTGGTGTTTAAATAAAACATTGGCATGAGCTGGATGTGCCACAGGTGTAGTCAGAGCTAAAACAGTCAATAATCAACAGTTTGTTTATTAGAATCTCTTGGTGATTTATTGATCCTTGTTGGATGAATATAATGCAATTCTTACATTACAAATGTAGTTTTTGAAATGACTGTAAATGACTGAAAACGAATTAACCTCGAGTAAACAATGTATCACTTTAGTTTAGGAGTCTTACCGGAACATGTTTCACAGTCTAAATCTGCGGCGTGATTGAATAACTTTATTTTGACTCACAGCCTGGCTGAATTATGAATCATCAGATTCTCTTTGATGACGCAGGTTTCTCACATTAATTTCACATCTGCTTGGTGCACTGTGGGCCTAATGAAGTGTCGACAGAAGAACATTTAGAGAAGTTGGTCCAGTTTGTTGTTGGCATCCAGTACTTTAATCTCGAAATTTAAAACAATTCCATAAAATTACAGAGCACCTACATGGGAGCTACTGAGGGTTACATACATACAGTAGAGGCTACAGCAGTTCCTTTGTCAGTATCAGCTTTTTCTTTTTAAACATAGCATTTCATGAAATATCTATCTTTTTACAAAATAAATGGCACAGGTGAAAGACTTACAAATAGTAATTCAAGGTGCAATTTTATGGATTCTCTGATAATAGAAGTCTGTCTGAAATATAGCAACTCGCATGGCTTTAGGTGATGTACTAAAATGTTCTCAATACCCAAAAATACAATCCTCATCTCTCCAAAACTAAAGAGAAAAGGCAAATCTCCACCGACATTCAACATCTCGGGCACAACATCCATGTGAAAATATATCTTTCTTCTGATTTAACCATGCAGCTTTTCAGCCAATGACAACTCATACAAATACAGCCTCGAAGGGACCAACGCTGATGCCTTTTGGCAGAAAATACATCTTTCCTTACATAAATAGACTTTTCTTGAATGACACAGGAGTGTGGTTACATCTTACATTTCAGATAACAAAACATACACTTGCCTAGACTTTCTCAGAAAAAAAATTAATCGAACACGTTTAAATCATAAAGCCGTAAAATTCATAAAACTTCTAACAAGGAAAGCGTACCCTTGCATAGGAAAAGAGGTGCAAAAAAAGTGCAGGACATCTGAAAAATGCACGCAGTTAGCATAACCAGGGGAGTGTAGCTAATAGCGAGCTACAACATACAGCTACAGCAAGCAGTAAAGTGCTTAAAGGTGACTAACAATGAAGGACTAACAATTTATATTTAATATCTGTGATGAGTGGGTGAACGGCAAAATGTTTTGTTTTCTTCTGATGTTTTGAAGTACCTCTGTGTGTGTTTGAGGGCCCCACCAAGGAGATGTCAGTCTGGTGTAGTGCTACACGAAACAGTGAAACCTCTACAATTTGTGTGCACACACATTTATACACAACATGTCTTAATCTGCTCATGAAGCCTGGCGCGGATCATTCATCATCCTCCTGCTGCACGGGCCCTGCAGATTCTACAACATGACATATTTACTAAGACTTTTAATGAGCCATGGGGAATGAAAAGCTAGGAACACTAGCGTTTTTTACCGCTTCCAGACACAGATTTCTAGTTTGTCAATGGGGATTTTCCTTTTCGGGCAGCCATATGTGCACCGTCTTTGAAAAATGTAGCAGCGTTATCACTCTGCTCTCTTACGTCAGAAACAAATGGTTTCTCAGCTCTTGTAGATCCAGAAGGAACCTCTTGGATGCATCAGCTGTGAATCCCACTGACCCCTTGAGACCTTTCACAAGCTGGGCACTCGGAGGTCGTGCCCTGCCGGAGGAATGAGATTGATCTTTGGCCTTTAAGACTCTCATCACTTGGGCTGTGGCAGCCATGCATCGGAGGGTAGGGTGGGGATGTGTGGGTGTTAGTAAACAGAGAACCGCAGTAGTTGTCCGGCGAGGTTTTTTTGTGAGTCTGTAGAGAGAGTGAAGAGCAGACCGCTGTTGTTGAGGCAGGTGGAAAACACACACAATGAGGCCTTCTGATCTATGATCTTCTCCTACCACTCCTCGTTTCTTCTTCTGCTGTGATTTCACTCAGCTGGAAGACACGCCAGCCTCCTTCTGCCGCAGCCTCTCTTTCTGTTGGCAAGAACCACAAACAATATTCAGTATGTACTTCATCGTGGACACAAGTAAGAGCAGCTCTCAGGAAATTCCATCTCTGTGCTGTATGTAGATCAATTCTCACCAGACTGTTGGCATTGATCTTCTTGGTTTCCACTCTCTTCTCCGCTGTGATCTTCTTGATGTTTTCCTGAGCTTCCTTTAACCTATGGGGAAAAAGAAAGTCCTTGACTTTACATTTACAGAACCTTTAAAACTCTGTGCACACACTGAAAGCTTCGAAAAAAAGCCCTGAAAGTGTGTGTAACTTGGAAAACATTACACATGCTGGACCCTTTCATCACTGTGTCCTTGTGAAGTTGTAAGTAAGAGCAAGACAT